TGGAGCACATTCACACTTAATACAAGTAATATCGTTGTATTTAATAGCAAATATACATTTATATTATCGAATATTCCTCTATTGGTGAACTGCTCCTACTAAATCGGACTATAAATAATTTTAATCTACCATCTATAACTAAATTCCTGTTTCAGAACTACCAATATTTTAGAAGCATTCAAACTGAATATGTGTTAATACCTGCCCAAAACTAATGATCCTGCAAATGTTACTACTTCAAGGGCCAGTGTGCGTGTTCGTAGTGTGGTGAATCTCTATACAATTACTCTTGATTATTTTACTAACCGTTTTTATCGACTAAGGAAAGCCGACATCTGATATACCTCATGGAATCATCTCGTTCAATCTATCATCCTGAGCATACAAACGGAGACTGGCTGCATTTCCCTATCAGCCTGCTAGATAAGTAGTTGTGAATCTGTTAAAGATAGCCAAGTGGCAAGGGAACAATTACCTGACGACAGCATTCAAGAAAGAGCCTCGTGCATTTTTAATGTGGCATAATGCTTTTCTCCTCTAAAACTGTAAAGCATAAGCTAGCCGTACGTTGATCTACGTGTGCTTTTTGGACAATAGTCGGTCTAGCTATAGCGCGTAACTCTAAAAACACTTGGATGTTGCGATCGTACATGCCAGTTTGGCTTTTGTGACGGCATTTGAGCATTTGCTTGTTACAAATGTAACTATTAATCATTGCATTCTCCATCAACTTCTTTTGTCTCCCTCTCGCTTTTTCACTATTGACTTAACCCTGCGTCTTAGCGACAACCTGTTTGATTGTTTGAGCAGGAGCCAGCCTCTTGGTCAGCAAGACGTTGGCCAGACGTTTCGGCTCACCAGCCAAGTCTGTCCCATTAGGCCAGGCTCTCCTCCATCCGATGATCCGCCTTCAAACCGCAAACTAATAGTGTCCGTTTAGACAAGAGAGAAATCGTCTGTTGACCGGCTCTACAAGCTGAAATATTTATAGAAAACCGGACTACGCCCAGCCTTCTCTGTGCAATCGATGCGCAAATGTGAGCGCCATAAGATGTCGGCATGGCATCCCAGCCTACCCGGGCACGGTACTGGTGCCGAAGCAGTACAGAGACAAGTAAACAAGGCTGGAGTAATGCGACTCGACCGTTTTATGTCGAGGGAAAAGTTGGCGGAAATGGTTTCGTTGCCAGGCTTCACTGGCAACTGGCGCGGAGAGTCTTGGTTTGTGCGAAAAGGTCCTCCCTTGTCTTAGCTCATGACATTGTGTCCTCATCGCTCAATCCCAATTCATCCAAGCAAGTCTCCTGCCAACACTTTACCAAAGGAAATGCTGATGTTAATGCGAGTACACAGTTGAGCGGGAGCGAGAATTGGCAATAGAAAATGGGATTTTTCCCAAAAGGGCATGAGTAGACCTCATGCTTACAATGAGTTTCGCTTGGCTCAACTTGCCAAAATACATTATCATCCAGGCCGGGCTGCAGTTTTGACATTTCCCATGTCTCATCAGCACCTTTTACGGTTTAGTGCAGCGCTCAATTAAGGTTTACTAATAGTCTTGAAAGCCTACTTCCTCTAAATATAAGTAGCGTAGTCGATGTAAATTTCATAATCCATAACCACACTCCTTCCTTTTAATTCACTTCTGCTGATTAGCTCTGGGCAAGGTCGAAATTTCAGTCCATCCTGGGTGAGAATATCTTTTGGCAGGCAAGACCAAGCGAAGTTCAATGGAAACGAAGAGCCCACTGGTAGCATAGTTGGATAAATTCAGCCATCTGACTATCATCACTTTATGCGACCTAGGGTGCCTGGAATGATGAAGATAACAAAAAGCTGGAATGCTGCAACAAAGATACAAGGCTAGAAGCTATGTTGAGCTTATTCCATTTCGA